GTGTGCCATTTGTTTGAAAGCTGCATATGTGTACACTTGCGTTACTACATGTGGGTGCCTTCACGTGTTGTAAACACTCTAACGCCCTTGAGCAGGGTCGAGAAGCCTTGAAATGGGTTATTGAGAATCGGGTCGACCACTTCATGATGCGCATTCCTTCAAAAACTCGCCTGCCCGGTTCCTCCTCGCCTCTCGCTCCGACATCCGACTTTTATTCGCAGAGAGTGGCAGCATCGCTCCCCTTGTGGAGTCGGCTGCGCTCTTTCACTCTCCCCTCTTTGCGACCAAAGATGAGTCCTGCCAACAGTGATCAACCGCCGTCCCCATGGCTGCGGCAGACCTGTTCCATGAGCAGTTTACCTATTCCACTGGAGCGGGTAGCCACGTCTTTCGACTCCTTCCATCCTGTTGAGGCACTGGGTGATTTCAGGAATAGAGTGGCTACAGACGTTACAGTGTTGCGCGAGCAGCTGCGTAAACGCTCTCAACGTGTCATTGAGCGTTTTTCAAAGGTGGATGAGTACGTACTCATCATGTGAGATGCCCTCCAGTGCGGAAAACTTTTCTAGGCTGTTCCTAGTCGCTCTTTGACTGCCCTTCTACTCCACTGTTGTCAAGGTTTGTCTGCTCTTTGTAAAGGCCTTACGGAGGTATTATACCGTTTCTGGACAGTTTCACCTTTTTGTTGGCAAAGTATGACAATCGCCATTAAGGCGGTGTTGGGTAACAAGGTTAGCGTTGATATATGCGCGTATATTTTTGTGAATTTTGCATCGATCAAAGTGGATGCGCATGTCCCGTTTCTCTTCCTCTAACTAGCAGCACGTCATGCTCAATAAATCGAGGTGATGGCTGCGACACCCAGTGCCCAAAGAATTGACTTACTGATCTGATTAAGGGTTGATGGTCAGTGGTATACGTTCGTGTCACTCATATTTCTAGTTTGTTTTGCATTGTCAGTTTGGAGAGTGATCTGTTTGCTGGTCATTCATGCATTTGTAGAATTACTATGTCTCAAGTTTAATTCAGCCTACAACGAATTCCAGTAATATATATG